GACAATGATATCTTCCTATATTATATTATATTTTTACGATGTACAATGGCAAATCCCTTTCAAATTTACATTTGTGTTCAGAATATTTTAAAACTGGCATCTCTATAGCGAACCAAATATGAAGATTCGTATGTACTGTATATACTCGTCTCTCCTATCACATTTCTAAGAACGTATTCACTAATATTTCCTAGATCCCAGACATCTCGGGGAATTCCCAATTGCATAATAAAGAAAAAAAGACCCATGTGTATAGTATATCAGCAAGGATACAATCAACATCCCTTTTTTCCTGTTAAGGGGAAAAAATGCTATCTGGAATGGCCCTGCCTGCCAGACGTACGATACCCATTTGGGGTCAGATGCAAGGATTGATCACAGCTCTAACCTCGCTACTACAGTTCAATTTTTACTTTTTCTCTTTTTTTTCTAGCTCAATTTTGCGGTTTTAGTGCTCGTTCTATCCAGACGTTCATACAGTGTCTTTGTTTCATTTTATTAGCAACGCAATTCAATTGTTTGTAAAAGACGAGTAAAAAAATTCAGATTACTGTAGAACTTTTGAGTTCAGAGTGCAATTCACGACCATTAAAGTGATTGGAAAATCCTCTGCGACACAGCTTTCCGATTTCGGGAAATATTTGTAGTGAAGAAACTGGAAGACTTCTCTTGAGGAAGAAAAATGATTTGGAGGAAAAATCACAGGGAGATGAAAGTGTCCGGGAACGTGGAAAATACACACACACACACACACACACACACACACACACACACACACACCACCCAACCATTAATATAGTGCCACACATAAATATAAATAAATAAATTAATAAAATTAAAAAAAGAACTAACGCAGCCGAAGAAAAAAATAAACCAATCTGAACAATATATATAACCCCCCCCCCACCCTCTCCCTCTCCAAGCACGGAATGATGACAAATATTTAACTAAGTACCGATTATCATTTAACGAAGAGAAGACATCTTGTTAAACACGGCTGTTCAAACCAAAGGACCAATGAAGGACGTGTACTGACTCACCGCCTCTTGAACGCATTGTACTTAATTTTTGTCTTTTTGTCATCGTAACCTTAAAGAAAAAAAAAAATACTATACTGATTTTGCGTCTGTCGAGTTGCGCGAGTGGGAAACGATATTTGGAAACGGAGAGAAAGAGAAGGGAAGAGTATAATAATAAAAACAAGTGGTGATAAGCTGAGAATATGCAGGGGAGGGTAGGAGGGGGAAAGAGAAAGAAAAAGAGAAAGAGAGAGAGAGAGAGAAGAGGGGAGGAGAGGGAGGGAGGGAGGGAGGGAGGGGAGGGAAGGGGAGGGAGAGGAGAGAGAGGAGAGAGAGAGGAGAGAGAGAGAGAGAGAGAGAGAGAGAGAGAGAGAGAGAGAGAGAGAGAGAGAGAGAGAGAGAGAGAGAGAAAGAATTCATTTCTTACCTTGTTACGTTTACCAAAGTACTTAAATCGTGACTAGTCCTTTCAGACAAATTTCAGCATTGTGAAATCGGTAAAATTACTCCAGGCACGCTGGGTACAAAAAGAAAAAAGAAAAAAAGAGAAAAAAGGTATTTTTTTGAGAGTTGATTAACCTGATTTTCAAGTATCTGAGACGGCTGGTAATATTAATACTCTTTCTCTCTTATGATTTAAAGTTTTGTCGGTTTCATTTATGATAAACATTTGGAATTCAGTTTGTCCTAAACATATGAATGAATAAATAATTTAACAATACTATAGATCTATAGATCTATGAATAATTATAATAACGAGTTGTGTCACCCAGTACGAAGACAATTTAAGAAGAATATTGAAAAAAAAACGCAAGAACAAATGGGGTTCATACAACAAGACTTAAATTTCATTGAATTTGTTAAAGAAACATGATATTCCAGGAACGACCTCGCACGAAAAAAAAAGTAGAAAGAAAAACGATTTCCCAAATGTATTTTTTCTCTCTCTCTCTTTTTCAGCTGTACATCGAAAATTATTTGTGAAATTGCAAGCATACAGTTTCACGGGTCATTTCGCTGTTGCCAATTTCCGCTTGTTCAGAGCCCTTAGGAAAGAAAACTGAATTGTAAGGAGTAAAGCATTCTCAAAGCATGACGTAATGTTGCCAGGAAAAGTTGTCGTACAAGTGGAACCGGGGTGGCGGGAGTACGAGACGCGGGTGCCAGCTCATGACGTCACAGCAGAGCCTGAATTTCTAATAGCTTTAACAGGTGGTTCAAATAACAATGCCAAAAATCGCTGGTACCACCGGAGGTAATCTTCGGGGAGTATCGTAAGGACAACAAACGTCACGTGAAAGCGCACAGCGGACCTGGCACGGATCTCCGACCAGGCACGAAGCTCTCTCAGTTCCCGATTCATAAGAATAGAACACGAAAGAGAGGAAGAACAGAGAAACAAAGTCATGGGAGCCGCAAAACAATTACGACCGTCAATGAAACCTCGGAATATGTCTCGTGCAGCCTGAGGTGCGTTAGGTATAGACGGAGGGGAGGGGAGGGGGCGAAGAGGGGGAGAGGCAAGGAAGAAAGCTCTCGGGTTCATTGACCTGTTGCTTTTGGCGTCGTCACAGGTGGGTCAGGGAGATCCCTCAAGAAGTCAGCGACCTGCTGTTGCTGCGGCAGTTGGCTCTCCTCGCACAAGGGCCTGGCCAGGGACTGGGGGAGGGAGGGCGAGGGCGAAGGTGCCACTGGAGCAGTTCTGGCTGCCCCGCAAGTAGGTCACGGGGACTTATGTATGGAAATGCTCACATGTCTGCTCACGCTTGCATCCGAGCAGTCTGTTACTCAGGTACGAGACGAGTCACTCGCCCGAACCTCTCGCCGGGGTGACTGACCGTCAGCGACGAGAGAGTGAAACCACAAGTGCCCATCGCGGCCTCCATCACGTGGGTACTTTCATGGGTCGATGACCTGGCTGGCCAGTGCCTTACAGCCTCTCGTCACCGCACCAGCCTCCCCTCACTCTCTCCTCCCTTTCCTATTTTCATCTCTCACGTTCCTGTGCACTTGGTCGCTCTTTGCTCCCTTCTCTTATTTATTAATCACACATTCCCTCATCCTTCGTATTCCATTCTACACCCTCTCTCTCTCTCTCTCTCTCTCTCTCTCTCTCTCTCTCTCTCTCTCTCTCTCTCCCTGTCTCTCCCACCCCCCCCCTCTCTCTCTCCTTCAGTTTTATTCCCTTTCTATTCATAAATATTTCCCTCTCAACGCGCCTCCCTCCCTTTCTCCCTTGTTTTCGCGCATGTGTGAGTTGATGTAACTGTGGTTGATCCTTCTTGGGAGCACCTGATATTAACGACAGTCCACCTAGTCATCCCAGCAAAAACAGGTTCTACGACGAACAGCGAACAGCAGCCTCTCCTGAATCCCTTCCACGTTACAGCAGTCCCACGCATTCTAAAACACCGTTGATAATAAAAAGCTTCCTGTGCTTGTAAACTGCAGAATTCCTAAGATCAAACAAGAAGGTCAGACGTTCCATATTGGTACGACTTAAAGGTGTACACGGGGTCGTTGACCTCTCTTGAATGTTGTGCGTTCGAGTCTGTCGCTGACTCTCTCTCACGTCCTATGCTGGCACTCCGTATAGTTCCATATGGCATCGAACTGCATAAAACTACACAAAACTATTTGACTACTCCAATGATAACTTCAAAATATAAAAGCGTAACACTTCACTCCTCAGCATACAAGAGCGTAGGCCTACATGAATAACCTACCTACTTGTCTCACATCGACTTTCTCCCATCCACCCGCCACCTCGGTAAAGTAATCACACCATTGACCAAGAAACGGCCAAGAGAATTAAGCACAGTGGAACGTTTCGAGCACACCGTCAACGGAGAGGACGGAGGGGGAGCGGCATCCCATACATATCCCGTTAACGGATTTTTTTTTTTTTTCTCCGAGCAGGTGGGAGGTGCAAGTCATCCTCGCATACTCGACCTTCCGTCAGAGGAGAAGGAAACCGCCACCTCCTTCATACAGGCTTTTTACCTGCCACCCTAAAACTGAAGTGAAGGATGCCTATCAACCTTGCGAAAGGATAGAGATCGTCATTTCCGTCCGTACTTCCTTAAGTTAAAGATATTTACAGAAATAAATATAGGGAGAGAAATATTCATAGTTACAGTGTGTATGTGTGTATGTGTGTGTGTGTGTGTG